TTTTTCTTCTGGGACGACTGGTCAGAGTCCCTAACCGCCCAGATTTCTTTTCTTTTCTTGCTATCTTCAATTCTTTATTTTTGGCCGGCTGAGCAGGTCGGCTGTCTTTCTGCTTGTCGGACTTCTTGGAGTCCGACTGGTTACCAGGCGAGCAGAGGTCGGTTGCTTGAATGTAGCTTTCCGCCTCCCTCAGGGCCGCCTGTAAAGTGAAAGCCCCTTTTCAGACTAGGTCGAACTTAAAGGTCGACCCGTCTCTCAGACCCTTAAAAAAGTCTGTAAAAGCTATCTCATCAGACAGTCCTTGAATCTAAATTCTTATCAGATTGAACCGCCTGACATAGGAGCACAACCCTTCTCTCTCTCCCTGCTTAACGGTGCTCAAGTCAAGACTTGTTTTCTTAGCAAGGATGTTCATTGAGAAGTTGGAAGCAAATAGGAAGGCGAGCTTCCTGAAACTGTCAATGGACCCGGCTGGTAATTTGCCAAACCATTGTTGGGAAATGCCCTTCAATGTAGTCGGGAAGCATCGACACCAAGTGGCATCATCCAACCCCTGTAAGTACATGAGGTTGGTGTAAGCCATGAGGTGATCTTCCGGGTTGGTGGTCCCATCATAGGTACCTACCAATACATTCTTAACCTTGGCCGGCTGAGCCAACTCGGTTATCTCCCGGGTGAACGCAGAAGGTTGTTCACCCAGGCGAAGCAGACGGAGCTGCCAGTCCAGTGGCTGGACATTGTGATATGCCGCCTGACCTCCGAAGATGGCCGACTGCATTCAATGAGGGGGATACTGACCTTAGACTTGAGATGGTACATACGGTACAGTTCCAATCATCTGAGGGCCAGAATGGATGGTATTACCGCCTGTCTGACTCTCATGCAAGGAAAGAGCATTCCCTCCAGAAGTATTGTTAAAGCTGTCTGGAAAGTTTGACGTGGAAGCCGACTCAGACAACTGTTGATTTCTCTTCGGTTGATAATCTCCTAGGCATCAAGAGTTGATTTTTTACTCCCCACCGGCTGCTGGGTCCGACAGGTATTGTTGGTATTCCTCTTAGGAAGAAGAATTTTGGACCAATCAATGGTCCCGGCTGCCTTCTCCTTTTGATGAGGAGTTGGCTGCCGATCTCTAACCGACTTCCCCTTTTCCAGAGGAGTCTTTTTGGCCGACTGACCCCTACTTGGGCCAGCCCGGCTCTGACTGATAAGTTATATAATTTAACCCTTGAAACTTTTCATGAATCTCATGAGTTCGTCTCGGGTGACAGGTGCTGATCTAGCCGCCGTATGGCCTGGGTTTCCCTTTCGGGCTGCCCAGGGGGTCGATTTGCACCCGCCTGGGAGGCACCCCACTCCAGAGTCTCTCTAGGCCGGATGCGCTTGGTTATCAGAGATCCATCATCGGCTGTATAAGTTTCGACCTGAGGATCTTCATCCTCTTGGTCTGTAAAATCTTCTGGGTCATCGCCCAGACGGTTAGGAGGTGGTACAGACTCTTGAACTATATTCGAGGTACTCTCCCCATAGACCGCGCTAAATGTTTTGGGTGTTTTTGTCCCTTGGGAGAGTTACAACACGAAGACTGATCCAGTACGGCCTATACCTGCAAAACAAACGGAGACGCCAATTACGGACGAACAAGTTAGTAACTTGAAGGGAGAGAAAAAGGTGCGGAAGTTTAGTTGGGTATCTGCTCGGATTCCAAGCTCAGATGTCTCTATCACAGGGACAGTTTGTAATGAATGGTAAAACGTGCCCTCTAAAAAAGGGGAATCTCCCTATTTATAGGGTCCTCGGGATTAGTGCCCCTTATTAGGTCACTGAACCCTAATCATTGGTGGGCTGCGCCGCATTGCGGCTTTCTCGGGATTTGGGCCTGAAGGCCGCCATTTTTCCCAGGTTTTTGAAGTGACACGTGTCAAGCAGGGATAGGTCCACCTTGGGCCATCCTGGGGCTGACACGTGTCATCCTCTGATTGGACCACGTGGCACGGTAAAATTACCCTAAATACAAGCCACAAATCAATGGTTCGTATCAATGTGAAATTACAATGCAATCTAGTGCAACGATCAAAGGTAGCTACTCTTTAATTAATCACACACATGCACATGATCATCAACCAAATTTAATCACATCATCAACTCCATCAATTTTCCCCAATTAGCATTAATCCATTACTCATACATGCCTCACCATTACCCTAGCAATCTAACTACTCACAATCCATAGGAATCAAGATCAAAACAAAGCTAAACAACAAATTCATCATGATCAAATTGAACAAACTAAAATCAAGTCACAAATCAATTAAACTTCAATCAAACTTGAACATCCAACAAAATAATTGAAATCAAACTAAAGATCAAACTAAAGATTGAATTAAAGAAAAGGAAATCTTACAATCTTGATCAAAGATCAAAGGAATCAAAGAAAGCTTCAATCATCAACAATCCACCATGTATTTCTCTCACTAAAACCTAGAGTTTCTCTCTCTAAAAATCTCTCTAATTTGATCAAAAACTAAATCTAATTATGTTCGAATTATTCTCTCTCTTAAAATAGAAGGAAAATCTATATATAGGAAAGCTACAAAAGAAGAGTTAGTTAGATCATCCAAAAGAAACCCTAGAAGGCACGGTCGCATCAAGGAAGAGGCGCGACCGCGGGAAAATGGGTACGGAACAGGGGCAAGAGGAGGTCCCCTACACCCGCACATGGCGTGCCTGCACCTGCATATGGCGCGCCCGCACCACCTGCGTGCGCGCCCGCACTTGGAAGCAGGGTACTTCCTCTCTTTCTTCGTCCTAGCTCATCCTCGTGCGCTCGTCTTGGTGATGATCATGAACACTAAGGTAGACAGTCTTTAAATGGATATTTTGGTGGGTTCATGGCGAAGATAATGCCCCCACCGCACGCGTGCACCGATCTCTTAACTTGCTCCTTGCATTCCTTCAAACTTTAAGCTCCAAAAGACGAAAATGAGGCATCCAAATTGATGAGAAACATGAGAGGAAGGCTCGGGAATCTTTGGAAACACGATCATAACCTGAAAACAAACGAAAATAAACAAATAAAAGGAAAAAAAGAACAAATAAACAAAGAAATGCACAAAACAAGGAAACTAACTATGGAAAGCACAAACTAACGAAATAAAGAACAAAACTAAAGAAAAACTAAGGATAAGGGTTATAAAATAACATGAAAATCGTCCTAAAAGAGGCTAAATGATTGCCATAAATGACACTTCTCAGTGTGCATTTTGAATAGTTCATCTAATTAACCTCAAATGTCTTTATTGTACGATCATCACATTAAATCATATTTTGTGAAATTGTGAATAGGATATTTCGTTCATGAAAAGCACCATTAAATATTAGTCTAATAAGATGGACACAATTAGTTTACGAATTTTGAAAATTTAACTACTAATCAACTTCTTATTTGGCAAAGGTTTACATATAATGACCCTGAACTAATGACAAGTATAATAAGTAAATCATATAAAAAAGGTAAAATTGGTATAAACCACCTTTTTTGTCCGACTTTTTTGAAAAAACTACCTTTTAAGTTTTTTTTTTAACTAAACCACCTTTTAAGTACCTAAATTTTTTATTGCACCACCCTTATTTCAAATCTAACATATTGTATCTCAACCATCCACTTCCAAATCATCAACCATAGCAAATCTTTCCCTTCCATCTCAACCATCCACTTCAATTACCTCAATTTAGGTTTTGAGGATAAACAAATACTACAATTTAATTTTTGTAGCAAAATTAAGTTTGGTTTTTTAGAGCTTTACTCAATTTAGTCATGCATATATATAAAGGGGAGGGTCAAATGTTTTTGGAGGTGAAAATAATACATGATTTTGGAGCGAAAGTCACAAGTTGTGGGCCCCTTTGACGTTTTAGTTAATTTTTTGTCATAATTTGAAATAGGGGTGGTGCAATTAAAAGGTGGTTTAATTAAAAAAAAAAAACATAAAAGGTGGTTTTTTCAAAAAAGTTGAACATAAAAGGTGGTTTTTACCAATTTTACCTATAAAAAACTTAAACCATGTTTTTAAAAAAAGATAATCCACATCAATAGGATTTTGATATCTACCTGATGCGGGACAGCGAGAGTACGAGACGTTGCGGATGAAAGATCTTCCCGTGTGCGCTGTGGTCGTTCCGTATGAAGATTCATGACAGGCTATTGTGTTTGGCTATAGATCGATTGGGAGAGTTGTAGGGTTTTTAAAAAGTTGTTAGAAACGTTGAGTTGAGTCACATACGATAATGGGAAGTTGGGGACCATTGGATTGACTTTTTGATGTAAAAATATTTGATATTGTCAAACACAAATCTTCCTTCAAGTTTTGTCTACTAATAGCCTGCCAGTGTCCGAACTTCCACCAATTGTCAACCTCTTACCTACTCATCTTAAATTCACTCTGTTCATCACGTTGTATCGTGGCCTATAATTACATGAGGTCATGAAACTCAATTAACTCCATCCCATACTTGTGCTTCTCTATTCAGTTTAATCAGTGTCCTTTCAGTTGTTTTGTTTTTCATTAAAAACCAGTCCATTTATTTTCTATTCAATCATCCCCCCCCACCCCCCCCCCCCACCATTCAAGACTTCAAAAAGCCTAAGATTCCTAGACGAGCTGTGACAAAGTGCCATACTCCAGCCTTGTTATTTTTTGATCCTCCAACTGTTCTTGTTCCCGAGTTTGATTTTATAGGGTATGAGTATATGTTTGTTGATGATGATGGGGAAATTCTAGCAACATTACACCTTGAAACAATCTCTGAACTCATACTTAATCCCAAACATCGTGACCATGATTTGTATAATACCTTATTCATGAGGCCCTTAGGGTATGAGTCGGTCTCTCAAATCGCCCATTTCCCTAGTATTTTTGACACATATCCATTGCGTTACGAATTTTAATTGTTCTTGACTTGGTGTCTAGGAACCTTGCCTCCCTCAACTTTTAACCTTAAAGAGGCAATGCATGTCCTCGCTCCAAAACCAGAAATTAACTTTGAGGATCCGATATGGCATTAAATCAAGTATCCATTAGGCTATGTGTTGGGTCATATACTGACACCTTCCAACTCTTTAAGGTCACACCGCAGCCGCATATTCTCCATTGTCGAGTTTTGTACCATTCACAGCCTCAAAAATTCCCTGGTTACCATAAAGTAGACTTTACCCCTTTTGGTCGAGAAATGGCTGAGCATCGCATTTCGGGCTGTTACTTGCCAATTCCCAAAGACACCGTTGCTTGTTGTTCGAATGTTAGAGGTATTGGGAGGCCATCTCTCATTGATAACTTTTGTACAATGTTTAGAATTCATAAACCTAATATCATTGTCCTGCTAGAAACTCAATATGCAGTCAAACAATTGCAACGCTTGTTAAGCAGCTTCCTGGGAATTATAATTTTGGATTTTCGGAGCCCGTCGATGGCCTATTTGGTGGGGTTGTGTACATGTGGAGGCAAGACTATATTACGGTGGAGAATAAGCTCATCACATCATCAACGTTCAGAGTTGATACGTTCTTTAAGGTTATGTGGAATTTGATATTTATTTCATATGGATTTATTGATGCAGAACAAATTTTAATGTTTTTGTTCTTTTATATTTCAGGGTCATCCACGCTATAAGGATAATGCTATTTTGGCTGGAATGGAGCTGACATGCATGGAGTACCCGTCTTTCAACGGCGTCGCTTGATGATATTATTATAAATGCTTGTTATTTGTTTCTCTAATTGTTGATGTTTTGGTAGTTAATTTAGGTTGTGAAGCATACATAGTGTCCGTAGTTTGCGTTTGCCATTTAAGTTGTTCATCTAATTGCTAGTTCTATGTATAATAACGGGTAATGATGAATGTACTAGTACTTGTTTTAATTTGCCAAACCGTTTTTTGAGTTATATATGTTTTGAATGACTAGTTTAATTCCTCGACTATACTTCTCGGGACAATGCCCAAAAAGTATAATCATTATTCACATGCATCGTACCGGTCCAACTGTGCCTAACACTACTAAGAGTCAATCAGGAATTCGATTATGGATTGAACTGAATATCAAAGAGTAAAATTGCTCTAAAAAGCAACTTAGACTACCACGAACGCCGGTGTATAAAGTCGTTCATTTTGCCCATACGTTGGTATTATCTTATGTATGTCCAATTTCAAAGGAGTTTCATGTACTGTGCATATATGTACAATCGTGCCTTGCAAGTCATCTGAAATTTGTTTCCTTAAATGAAAAATTGTGTTTGGCCATATTCATTTAATCGATTTATGGTCAAATGATCACCGGTAAATGTGAGCTTGTCATTATTATACAGAACAACCCTTAGGTACAAGTGAGGTTCACTTTAAAGTAGTACTTTATAAATAATTTCACAGATGGTTTATATTTTCTTCTCCAAATGCGAAAACAGACTATTGTCAATATATGACCACCCAACCACATTTTTTATTAAGTTGGGATAGTTAAAATGATCTTGCTAAACAACGCCCCGGGTATACTGAGGCCAAATAATTAGTTAGATACAATAATTTCGTACTTAAGAGTAACCGTATTTACGAACTATATTTTACTAGCATAATTATCATGACAGGATCATTAATTATATGTGTACTTTACTATTTCACAGTTAAGCTTTGAGTTTATATAATATATGTTTATTGAAGATTATGCAATATCATAATCTTTTCACTTTTCAAAATTAGACCGAATAATCTAATATGGTATCAAACATAATTTGTAACGTAGTAGCGTGCTCATTAATGAAGACCACATTGTATATGAATAATTGTTTGCAATCTATTTTATACCTCGCAACTCTTAATATACTTTAACGCGATAAGATCGCCAACTTTGGAAAGGAGATGACGTCCATTAAGGAAAAACTAAAGACCTCTAGTTCAACACAAGAGCATCCCTCCCAATCTAAAGGGAGAGGTATGAATTCTAACTCTTCTCCCTCTACTTCTAATAACATGCCTCATGGATGTTTGTTTTGTGAAAATTGTGGGTCATAGGACCATGATACCTCTTCTTGTAATTATGATTCCCAACCCCAACCCCAATACGAAGATGGTAATGAAAATGAAAATGAACAAGTCAATGCCTTGTCTTATGATAATAGACATAGGAATGACAATCAAAGATACTTACCACCAAATAGAAGAGAACAAGGGGGGAATTCCTATAACCGAAATGATTACGATTACCATAACCAAAATCAATGGGGAAATAGGAATCAAAGGGACCAAAATCCCCAAGGTAACTACAACCAACAAGGTGGTTATGGAAACCATAATCATAATAATCAAGGAAACTATGGGAATCAAGGGCAATTTCATCAAGAGGGAAACTCTAATAATCGGAACAATTGGAACAACAATAATAATAGAGGTTCTTCTAATCAAATGCGTCCAATTCGAATGTTAGAGGTAATAGGGCTTCCCAAGACAACTACTATGCACAAGCACCACATAGTAGGTCTAGCTTGGAGGAAATGATGGCAAATCAAACTAAAATGTTCAATACTTTCATGGCCTCTTGTGAAAAGAAATTTAGTGAAGTGATGACCCATAATAAAATGCTAGAGACACAAATTTCTCAATTGGCCAATGCTTTGAAGGAAGTGACTAGCACTTCTAAACTACCACCCCAAGGACTAGATCCTAAGAGGCCCGTAAATGTTATATCAGCAAGGAGTGGTAAAGTGTTGGAAGAAAGTGTTCCCAAAAAAAGCAATGAGAGAATGAACATGAGTGAGCCTCCCCTTAAAAGTGATTTTGAACAAGAGAGAGAGCAAAATCATGAGAATGAAAAAGAGATAGAATGTGAGAAAGAGCTAGATTTTGAAAAACAGAGTGAAGAGAGAAGACAAAAAGAGAGAGAAACAAAACAATTGCAAAAGCTACCATATCCTCACAAATTTGTTAGAAACAAATTAGATGTGCAATATGGAAAATTTCTTGAAACATTGAAACAAATTCACCTTTCAATTCCTTTTACCAATGCTATCAAGCAAATGCCTAACTATGCTAGGTTTTTGAAAGATATTTTGAGTGGAAGGAGAAAGTGTGAATTGGTTGAAACGGTGAGTCTCACCGAGAATTGTACTGCAATTATCATGAATAAAATGCCACCCAAATTGAAAGACCCCGGTAACTTTTCTATCCCATGTGCAATATACAAGATGCAAATTGATAATGCTTTGTGTGACCAAGGGGCTAGTGTTAGCCTAATGCCATACTCGGTATACCAAAGACTTGGGATAGGGGAACTTCTACCCACAAACATCACCCTACAATTGGTTGATCGCTCTATTAAATTCCCAAAGGGTGTAACACCCTAGAAATTCCTTTCCTTTAAATACACACTTTACTCTTTTTAAAATACGTTTTAGGAATATCTAAGACATTACCGCCACCGTGAAAACGGCTAAGGCAACTATCAAAGATACACAACGGAAGACTTGAAATCAAAACTATTAAAATAACACAATTTAAAAACCAAACCAACGAAAATAAAGTTGACAATCAACAAAACCAAAGTCAAATAGGATCCACTACAACTTGGAACCATTTAAGGCCCTTATTCAAAACCGAAACAACCAAACTCTTGTGTTAGTCCATAAAGTAATATAATAAAATATTCAATGCATAAAACACGTCATATTCTAATGGAAGCTAGCATGATTCTCTCTTGACTCATGCCCCATCATGAACATGCTTCAAAAGTGTATCTCTACTTGCCCCCACTACTCTCCATTAAAATGGATCATCGTAGGGCCAAGATAAAGACATGGCCAAACACAAAAAGTACACACAATCAGCAAAGCTCAGTACATAAGCGTAATTAAACACACTAAAATGCATTCTCCTATCATCACACACACTTACCTCATTGCACCTGTTTACAAGCACACACAACAATCAACAAGACACTCTAACTAGACACTAAACAATTCATTTAGCGTTGATTACGCATCGAACGGGTTTCCAACTATACCTATCCCAATAAATTAGGGTTAACTGACAAGGGAGCTAACCGTGCCAGCAACAAACCTGTGCCACACATAGGTGGGGAATTCCAGTGCATAATAATAAAAAGGAATATACAGCGTCCTGTACTCCATTAGAAGCTATGGTTAAATATAAAACCCCATAACTCCCCCCATTGTTCATACTCAAGGTATATACGTTCCAAGAGTTTTGGTGCGTAATATCTTTCACTTTACATTATTTTCATATTATTAGAATTGGTGATGACTCTCAAAGCATCATAAGTCAATCAACAATAATTATTCAATCAAACAAACATACCAATTTAATTCTTGAATAATTAGTGACCACATATTATTAAATGTTGAACCCTTTTTAATTCTACCTACGCGTCAAAGACACCTTAAACGCATAATGCGCCAAAAATCCTATCCCTCGGTGTTAAAAACACCTTAAGTGCACAAAGGCACCAACATACAATTTATTCCTTGTGTACATAGACACTTATATAGTTCCTTTCTTATGCTTAAAGCATCAATAAAAATTATATGAACCATAATAAAATTTCTTTTCAATATTCCAAACATAATTAAACAATTAGTTTAATTAAACATGCTCTCTATCATGCCATAAATAAATATGTAGTCCATATAATAATGCCAAAAATATAATTTCCAATCCATAAACCATCACAAATAATTCATGCTTCACATTTCAATCACCAACACCAATAATTCACAATTCAATACATAAACCTTAGCATGATACTACTTGTAATTAATTGAAATTAAACCTAGCATGACTCTACATCATCAAAATATGCTAAGTACGCGAACGTACCTTGAATACGATCTTAAAATCGTCACGGCTAGTAAAAATTGTTCACTTCGAAGTCTCCTACACATTAAAATTATAATAGAGCATTAAAACCCACTCTAACAAATTTCCAGCAATATATACTATCCTAAAACCCCTATTAAAATAATAAGAATAAGCTGAAATTATATTTAAAACACCCTAATTAAGTCCCACTTAATGGGTAATTTAAATTTCCTTCAAAAACATAATATTAAGTGCTCTACATAAAATTCCCGCACTTTACTTCTAATTAAAACTTGCTGTAATTTAGTCTTAAAACACTTAAATTGAAGATCTAAACATTAATACCTCATATGCTTTCATAATTTTCACAAATCAAGGACCTAGGGTTTCAAAAATTGGGGCTTTTTAATTAAAAACAAAATCTGAAAATTAATTCATACAATTACAATTATCAAACATAAATATTAAACCCCCAAACTCATAATTTATATTTAGATCCAGGAATAGATTAAATTAAAACAAGAAAGCTTCAATTTTTATTTTTTTTATATGAAGTTCGAAAAAAAGGGGAAAAAGGGGAAGAAGGGCGGCAGCCACCACCGGCTTCCAGCTGCTGGCGGCGGCCACCAACTGCCGGTTGCTGATAGCGGTGGTGAGGGAGGAGGGCAGCCGAAATATTTAAGGGGAAGGGGAAAAAGAAAAAGAAAGAAAATAAGGAGGAGAGAGAGAGAGAGAGAAGTTTACCTTGGGTTTTCTCCACTCTGGGCAAAGTTTGATTTGCCTCATAAGTGAGATATTTATACCCTTTCTCTACTAACCCTCTTCCAAGGTTTTTCCTAATCCCTTCCTTAATAAACTTGTTGAAAAATCAAACTTTCCTAAAATAAAACCCTAACTTTTAAATAAAATAATTAAATAAACTTTCCTTTAATAATATTAATTAAAATACTTTAATTAAAATAATTACAACTATTTAAATACTTTATAAAATACATACTTTAAATAAAATACGTATAAAAATACGGGGTATTACAGTCTACCCCCCTTAAAAAAAGTTTCG